ACTACAAAAATGCCATTAGAAATGCTAGGTTGAGCATCTATGGAGGCGATGCGATGTGCAACTCGTTGAAAGGCTAAACTCTGTACAACCAACATAAACCGATATAGTTTATATTTTATCCCGAAGTTTTGAAAATCAGAAGTGAGTTACCAATAAACTCCACTCATTACCGTCAATTTTTCAATAATATTTGTCACTCCTTGGAATGGTGCGCCCTCAAATGTAAGCATAGATTCATCCCTCTGTAAAATATAAAAGATTATTATGGTCCACGAAAACGATTATTATTATTGCGGTTATTATTATTGTCATTAATTAAGAAAGTCATTTCGAATTAATCTCTTTGATTAGGTTTCGGTCGCGTACGACGAGTAAGTGAAAACACATTAACAGCCCTCTAGGCATTGGGCCGTGACAAAGTAAATTAAGATAAAAAAATAAAAAGAAATTGGAGATTCAAACAAGTTCGTTTAAACGCTTACTAAAATGTATAGATTACTTTCTCGTCAGGCCACTTCCGGACTTGAGGATTCGATGCCTAACAAAAAATGGACAAAAGATTACTTACATAAAGCGGTTTGAGGTTATTCCTGTCGGAACAAAACACGCCGTAATAATAGTTGATGAATTGAGTGGCGAGTGCGTTGATGTCTGCCATTTCGAGATCAGAAAGTTAAAGAAATTGGTAGAAATGGAATGAATGAAAATTAGACTGGCTAAATTTTATCATGTTCATCTCGTGTGACAATGTGATTAAAACGTAATTAATTACCTGTTATAGTACACTATAATATTACGTACATTTCGAGTATGAATATCTACATCTTTTTGAGGTACGTATTTTCTCCTCGCTTCCTCGGTCGCAATGTTTTCTTCTCCTTTACGGGCCACAGATCATCCTTTAAACCTGCGTAACGAGGAGCAACCGAATTTACATAGAAGTGTTGTGCATATCTTCAGAAGAACAGCAATGTTCACTGCTTTGCGCGGCATGCGCAAATTGAAGAAACGGATTGTGGTAATTTTGTTTCTCTCGTTGATTTTACTATACATTTTTGGACCAGTGATACGTTTATACTTGTTAATCGTAAAATACAAGCTCAGGAATAGCATGTATGATCTAGGTTTACTTCCTTGTTCCCTTAGGAAGTCTCCAATTTTATACATGGTTGATACACAAAAGGTATTGACAGTGTGGGAATCCAATTGCGCGATGAAAGATGTAAGGATTCGATGGTACGAAATTAAAGAGAATAGTGGTGTGACAGAATTGTTGAACATTTCAAATATCCTTGCCCCTATAGAAATAGACGACTCGCATCATGTGTATAAAGCGACGATGGGTCCGTTCAGGGATATTTCAAAATATGCATACGAAATTGTTTATAAGACAGATGAGAAAAGTTCAACAGATATAATTGCTTCGGGTTTCTTTAAACTGTTTCCTGATAACTCTGTAGCAACATATCCCATTCAAATTGTTGCTTTCTCAGACAATCAATTTGGTCTTCCCATTTTTCATCGACTCGTACAGTCTGCCTTTAAGAGACACTCCCCAAATTTTATTCTTCACGCAGGTGATGCGGTTCAACACTACGAAAATCTTCAACAATGGCAAACTGACTTTCATGATCCTTTGGCAAATTTTCAACCTTTGCTACAAACACCGATAATTTACGCCCACGGCAATCATGATCATGATCCTGCACAGGTGTATGCGTATACAGTAGATACACTTTGGTATTCATTCACGCTGGCAAACACTCGTTGGATTGTGTTGGACAGCAATGTCGACGATAAAAGGCAGGACGAATGGTTAATTCAGGAGCTTTCATCCTTGGAAAGACGAAATGCTGAATTCACAATAGTAGTCGTACACATTCCACCTTTCGTGGAATTTTGGGATCCTGAGACTTGGCACGGGCAAAATGAAAAACATTGGGGGGAATTTGTACGCACAAGATACGTTCCATTGTTTCGTGCGCACGGTGTGGACTTGGTAATAAGTGGTCACCAGCACAATTATCAGCGTGGCCACATGGA